CAATTGACAAGTAAGATTTTTATTTCTCTTTATAAGATAAGGGAACCACGTGGAAGATGAGAGATTTCTCCAGAGTTCTCTTCTTTTCCTTTCTTCTACTTCACGTGAAGCCATAATCAAAGGTAAGATCTCTTGTTGGTTGATATTTAGCCGGATTTAAGATGGGGTTTTGATCATTAGATGATAACTAAGCTTAAGGAAAGCTTAAGTTATCTTAAAATCAAAAGAAAAATGAGTTAAGGAAGATTAAAGATTTGGAGTTCTTGAGTGAAATATTGAAGTAGAGTTTATAATAAGAATTGAAAGTTGAATTTGACTTGCCATCGATAAGAATAAGAGATTTATGAAGTTAGAAATGATTAATAACAAAGTTAAAAGTTTAGTAAGATTCTTAAATTTTAAGAATCATGATGAGATATGGAAGATAAAGATGGTTTATATGGATATAATTTGGTTTAAGTAATGGTAGTTGAGTTTAATAACATGATAGGGGCTTAAAATAGAAGTATTGAGTGAAAAGTTGATGGTTTTCAAGCTTAAAATGCAAATTCTGGGCAAGGTGTATCGATGCACATTCAATGTGTATCGATGCACTCTTTAAAGAAAAAACATCGAATGCAATTAGTGCATCGATGTACCCCCTTAAAATGAAACATCGAAGGTGATTGGTGTATCGATGCATGGGTAGTGCATCGATGCACATGTTAAAGAATGCATCGATGCACTGTAGAATGTATCGATGTACTTCAAAGGGAAAATAGAAATAGACCTTTCTTTTGGTCTAAGAAATGATAGATTAGAGTATATCGATTGGATATTGATATGTATCAATGTGTGATTATGTAGATATCGAACATGAACAAGTTCTGGAATGATTATCAAGTTAAGATTCGATCGAAAGAGAGGAAATCATAAGTGGATTGGAACGTAGTGAGGCCAAGGTGAGTGCAGTTTATTTTTATAAGATTATATGGAAATTGGACTTGTGATAAGTTTATTTCCTATAATAATAGTTCATTAAGTCTTGATTATAAGTATGTTAACAACATGAAGTGTATATACGTTTGATTAAATGAATTGATATGTTTTGTATGTGCTAAGTGGTTTGCGTAAAAACACTATTAAGTGTTAATGAGAGAATATAAAATAAGTTATGAAATTATAGGAATATAGAAGATCAGTCAAGTGATATATGGAAATGAAAATAGATGCCTATGAAGAGTTATAGGAGAACAAATATGTCATATGATAATGAAATATAAGACTATGTGAATACATGGTTATGAGATAAAATATGTAATAATAGGAAAATATGATGAAAGTGAGTTCATGAGAAGTGATAGGAACTAGGTAAACATGTGTAACAGTATATGCTTAATAGAAACATGAGTTGGACAAGTACATAGTGGTATGATCCATTATGAGAATTAGTATAATAGAGCTTTTTGATTTAATGAGAGTTAAGGGAACTAAATAAGATTGAATTACAGAATGAAATGGGAATAGTATATCAATTAGGAAACTTGAATATAAAAAGGATGATACGAATATATAAGATAAGTTATATGCTAAAGATTTATGGAGCTATATGAAAAGGTTATAAGGAATATATGAAATTGAATTAAGTAAATAGATTAAATTAATATATAAATAAAATTCTATTAAACGATATACGTTTAGAAATACGACATAGTTTATGTAATCTAAGGGAATACAAAGAAATGAAGCATAAGGTAGATGATATGACATAAGTTATTATATACATATACGATATATGTTATCAAGTAATATGAAAGGACTCGGAAAATTGATATAAGCTACGTGGAAGTGTTCTAGATGTTTATATGTGCTATATGAAGTATATATGATTATATGTGAACAAGATATGGTATGTAGGTTTACATGAACATCTAAGAAATGATCTAAGCTATATGATATGATCTACGCGATTCTATGCACTTTGGATATATGTTATATGACATGGATTTATGTGACTACGTGAGAAAGAATATAAGCTATGTGACATGTAAATGTGAATTATATGAAAATGTTCTACGCGTAAGTGAACTATGTGAATATATGAATATGTGAAATGACATAAATGATAATGCCCATGTTATGTGTCATGAGAGCTAGGGGTATAGTTGGCATGCCAAGAGTCGAGGGTCTACGCGGTCCTTCGGGACATATATGTATTCCTTGGAACATGTGTGATGTCTTTTGAGACACATACTTGATCCTTTGTATATGTATATGATTCTTAAGGAATTTTCTACGTGGTCCTTAGGGACATTTTATATGGCACTTCGGTGCATTTATACGAGCTGTGGTGACAGCATTAGTTCACAACCTCAAAAGACTCACATATCTATAATTCTCAAAAGTGTACATGGGCTAAACAAAGATATAACAATAAAGATGGTACTGGTGAAGTATATGTTTTTATGATATGAACTATATTATATGATTGTTATGATGATGTGTGTATGGTTTGAATGAGCCATATGTTGATGAAAAGTATGATTAAAAGATATAAATGATAATAATGTGGATAATAGAATAAGATTAATTATGGAAATAATGTGTGATGTGTATATGTGTACATTATATTATATATAATGATTGTGTGACATCATGAAGTAATATGTTCATACATGTTTAAGCATTTAGAGTTTCCTTTATAAATTTAATGTATCACTAAGTCATAGACTTAACGTGTGATTGTTTCACACGTAGGTTAAAGAAGCGAAAAGAGAAGCGAAGAAGAGCAAGACACGTCAGCATCTCCCTTACAAAATTTCAGATCAGAAAATAGATGATTTAAATGTGTTTGGTTAATTTGAATATAGTTGGCATGTACTAATTGATTGAGTTGGATATGCTCTGATCGATTTTGGTTATTTTGGTTAATTTATGTAAATAAACCGCTTTTATTTTAATGAAAGTTTTAAATTTTCTTTGAGTTTTGTCAAGAGTCAAAGTTTGAAAAGTCAATGTGACACCTCAGACTCGTATTCGGGTCGGGTACGGGTTGGGGGTGTTACATACTGTCACAAGGGAAGGTTCAAAGGAGGACACCTACCTATCCTATGCATCTATCAATCGTAGAGGCGATCACCACATTGTGCCAAAATGTTTTTTGATTAAATCATCAATTTCATTCATGTGGGGGATTGTTGGAAAAAAGGTGAATTTAATTGATGTATTTAATATTTATATTAAATTCATAGTCCTTTTTACTATTGCAAATGAAAATATAATTTTTAATTTGAATATTAGTATGATAATTACTCTTTTAATAAGTCAATTTAAAAAAGTATTTGTTATCTTTTTAATTTTGAATATTAAAATATAATTATATATTTTTGTATATTTCAAATTAAAATAATATATGTTTAAGTTTGAATAGTAAAAAGAGTTTACCTTTCAATCATTTCAAATTAAATATATTATTTAATTTGAATATTAGTAAGATAATTACTCTTTGAATATGTTAATTTAAAAAGGTATTTATTACCTTTTTAACTTTGAATATTAAAGATAATTATATATTTTTGTATATTTCAAATTTAAAATAATACATATTTAAGTTTAAATGGTAAAATGAGTTTTACCTTTTGAATATTTCAAATTAAAAGATATTGTTATATGTTCAATGTTGAATATTAAAAGATATTTGGTTGAATTAAATTTCTCTTGAAAATCCCCCATAAATAGTGAGCAAATCTATTAGGTTTTTCACATCTCAAGATATCTCACAACTCAGTTTTCAAGAACTTCTCTTATATTGAAAAAGTTCTCTTCCTTAGTTTTTCTGGTGATTGAGTGTTTATCATTTCTTCTCGAATAACTTTGGTTTAAATCTTATGGAAAGTAATTTTTCATTAAATGATTCTAATAAAATGACGTCGTTTTAGTGAGAGAGCTACATCATCACCTTCACAGCATAAAAATACAATGTCATTGTATCATTAATAGATTAATGACGGAGTATATAATTGTAGTTAAACATTAATGTTAATATTAAAATTAATAAAATTAAAATGTCAGTGACTAAACGAGTATGATGACTGATATTTGAAGTACTTTACCCTAATTTTATTTATTTATTCAAAATATAAGTCATTTCAATAAACAAACCATTAAAGGCACAGAACATTGGACCGTGGAACCATTGGAAGTACCTGGCTGAAATCACGACCATGTTCATTATTGGAGAGGAAAGAAAATATAAATAAAAAATTTATAGAAAAAACATATGTTTGCAATTTAGTCGGTTTAAAAAAGTATTATCGATCGAATAAGTCTTAACGTATTTTAACGTATATATCTCTGATTTATTGTTGAAGATTTTATCTCGAAATTAATACAATATTTAATTATAAGATAAATTTTTAATTATATTTTTATTAAATTTAAATGTTTATTTTCTTTAAATTAAATGTTTATTAAATTAAACGTTAAAGAAATATTTATTTAATGAATATGTGACAAGTAGTCTTGGTTCATCAGTTTCCTTAATTATCTTTGATCTTTTAAAGAAACAAATAGAGAAAGGAAAAAAAATTTAAAATTATTTTATCTTTTAAAAAATCAGAAAAATTAATATCTCAAACACTTTGATTTTAAATGAGTTTTACTATCGACGCATTAAGCTTGATCTCAAATACTTTAAAAAATTTATCTATTTGTACATGAAATCAGAACCTAATTATTAAAATATATCATACTTATTAAAAAATTGATAAAATTTGAAGAATTCATAATATAATAGTTTTTTAAGAAATGATTTAAAAATAATTATGGAATAAAATAATAAATTAAGCATTTAAAATTTATAAAATTTAAAGAATTCATAATATAATAGTTTTTACTTATAAATGATTTAAAAATAAATCTGGGTCTCCATCGAAATGAAACAGCATGGACCATTGGCACTTGGCATTTATAATCGGGTCAACGTTCCCCAAAAGTTTTGGAATTTGGAAATATTACAGTTCACACCATTTCTGCAGTTTTTAGTTCCTAATATTTCTCAGAACGAAAAAGGATCATTTTTTATTGTTTAATCTTTCTCAAGCAAAAAATGGCTTTGGAGATCTGTGTTAAGGCCGCTGCTGGTGCCCCTGACGTTCTTGGAGACTGTATGCTCTCTCTCTCTCTCTCTCTCTCTCTAATATATATATATATATATATATATATATATATATATATCATTTGAAAAATGAAAATCTTGTTTTGTTTTTTCCTTTTTCCGGATGATTTTGATTCTGGGTTTTTGAGTTTGAATTGAATTGAATGTTGTTTTGCCTCTTTTGTAAAAATGTTTTACAGGTCCTTTCTGCCAAAGGGTTCTTCTTACTTTGGAGGAAAAGAAGGTTCCTTACAAGCTGCACCTTGTCAATCTCAGTGATAAACCCCAATGGTATATTTTTTCAGAAAATTAACAAAAAAAAAGTGAATATTTCATTGTTTTATGTTGATGAATGTGTTGTTTGGAGTGTTTAAGCAAATGGGTTGCTGTAAATTTCTGATTTTACTGTAAAAAAATATGAATTTTGTGATTTAAAACTCATGATAGGTTCTTGGAGATAAGTCCAGAGGGGAAGGTACCAGTGGCGAAGTTTGATGACAAGTGGGTGGCTGATTCTGATGTGATTGTTGGAATTATTGAAGACAAATATCCTGAGCCTTCTCTCAAAACTCCACCTGAACTTGCCTCTGTGTATGTTGCTCCTATTCTTCAGTTTTTCTTGAAATACCGGTTCAGAGTTCAAGGTTTAGGATTTAGGGTTTACAAGTATCTAACACTTACGCCTGACGGCCTGAGTTCGATTAATATAGGTTAAGTTCGGAGACATTTGGTTATTTAGGTTGTCCTTTTGATTTGCCTCTGTCTATGTTGCTCGGATTCTTCATTTGTTGAAATATCGGTGTTTGATGCCTGTCTGATGGTTTTTTTAACACAAGTACGGAATATGATCCTCCGAGGACTCTCAAAATACGTGAAAAAAACTTAGAAGAAACTATGTCGGAAACATATAAGTATCTAACAGTAACGCCTGAGTTTGATTAATATAGGTTAAGTCCGGAAACATTTGGTCATTTCGGTTGTCTTTTGGCTACTGAAATTCTGGGATTATTGTTGTCTTTGATTTGTTCCCTGTGGATGGTTTTTTTTTTGTAACAGTTCCCTGTGGATAGTTCAGTCATAGAATGGCAGAGGCAAATAGGGCTTTTGCACATTTTGGTTAATCCGTGAACAGCATTGATGTAGACACATAGATTCATGGAACCATACATCTCGATCGGAAAATAATCAATAGAAAAAGAAAGAATCGGTAGTGATTGATATATTTCTCAAAACAAATGTAAAGGAAACGAAACATGAAACATAAATCATAGATCAACTAAGCCCTTTCAGGGACTTGCTTACCTTTGAAAGTATGTAAACAGAGTTGACCCTGTATGTGATTTTTGCTCATCTTTTATTGTATAGGAAGTCCAGATACCATTTTGTTCTTGAAACTGATTAACTGTTTCTTGATCTTTAATTCTTTATTCGATTTTCCGATGCAGGGGATCAAAAATATTCGGAACTTTCATCACATTTTTGAAGAGCAAGGATGCAAATGACGGATCTGAGCAGGCTTTGGTTAATGAACTGATGGCATTGGATGAACATCTTAAGGGACATGTAAGTGATGATCAGCTTGACATGCCTTTTTACCATAGATTCGATACATTCCATATATTTTATCATGTGAGTGTTCGTAATTTATCGGACTATACAAATCAGGGTCCGTTCATTGCCGGAGAAAAGATAACCGCTGTCGATCTAGCTTTGGGACCGAAGCTGTACCATCTTCAGATCACTCTTGGCCATTTTAAGAAGTGGACTGTTCCTGAAAGCTCGACTTATCTCCACAATTACATGAAGGTATGCAACTGCTGTACCATCAATCAATATTTTTTCTGCAATTTACTGTTTTCTAAATGCAATTTTATAGGTTTAATGAGTGGATCTTGTTCGTCATGTTTGTTTTACGGAAAAACGACGACGACAAAGACAATGATGTATGTTGCACTTGACTAGACAACCTTTCCTGGGAAAAGCTTGTTTTGTTTGAACTATCCTGGTTTTGATCATCCTTCCTATCTTGATCAGTACAGTCATGCATATTAGGAGTAATGATGTATTTGATACCTATATACGGCTGCACTTTCATATCACTATTGCGATAAGAATCCCTAAATACATAGAAAAGCTTAGAAAAAAAGTAAACATCCGTATATTTGATATACTCGCACTTAAGACCGAGTAAACATGGTTGCACTAGCATGGGACATGATTATACCTCATCGACTAGAATGACATTATGATTGTAAAACTGCGGCACCTCATAGACTGGCGATGATAGCTCAATGGCATACTATACTCTTCCCTATCTTCTTTGGGACCATTAAGATCACATGGACTCGAGCGTAAATGTTTAGAATCATATTCTCGTATTTATTTCCGAATGTGTTGTATGTTTGCAGGCAGTTTTCTCTCGGGACTCCTTCCTGAAGACGCAGGCCGCCAAGGAACACGTGATTGCTGGATGGGCGCCTAAGTTTGATGCATGAGTCTGTTCGAAACCAGTAGGTGTTTCACACTGTTTCGGAACATATAAACTCATGAAGTGTGTTGGGACTATGGCAAAAACCAGATGAACACTTAGCTGGTCCAGTCATCTAATAAGTGTTCTGAGCGATGTGGTACAATAGTACATTGTTCATGCTATTATTAATCAGTAAATTTGGGGTCTAATGCCAAATGGTGTTTTCATCATTAGAGAATCATATATCATACTACTATAAATATTGAAATCTTAAATCCATATTTATTTCATTGATCGAATGGAATCAAATTTAGCTAGTTCGGATTTATTGAAGGTGTAATATTAGAAGGTGGTTGTGATTGTGCATAAAGATTTATTTATTTTTATTTCAGTGAAAAGTCGTTGATTAAAATGGTCGAAAATGAAGTAAAAATCAAGCTTAAGCTTGGTGGCCCGAGTTAAATGAGAATTTTCTTAGATATTTATGATTAAGAGTAGAAATTTTAGAGTTTTTAGATGAGTTGAGGCTTGTTATGTTAATATATTATCGTAAATTTTATGTATTTATCTTGATTCAATTAAAATATGGTTAAAGTATATAAATAGTCCCCCAAACTTTTAGGATGCTTGCATTTTGGTCACAATTTTTAAACTTTTAGTTTGTTTTCTTTTTGATCTTTGTCATTACCTTTCGTTGGTTTTTGTTGATGTGACATTTAACCCGTTAACCCCTCCTCCTTGATAAGTATATGAGTAGCAATGTCGACATCAAGCTGCACCAACAAATTTCTAGTGGCTTAGGTAACAAATTTCTAGTGGCTTAGGTGGCGTTTGGTTGGATGGAATCTCTTGGAATTGGTGGGAATTGGAATCCAATTCCACCACTTTCCCATGTTTGGTTCAAGTTTTTCAAGGGAATTAAAATCCCTGATAGAATTCAATTCCATCAAATGAGGGAAAGTGAATTCCATCCAAAAATGAATGGAATTCAATTCCTTTGTTGAAGGGAATTGAAATTTGATCATACTACCCTCATCAATCCTTTGGTAACTTATTCATATATTGAATAAAAATATTTTTTTATTATTTCGGGTCGGGTCGGGTTTCTAATTCATATATTCAGGTCGGGTGAAACTTTATTTTGGTCGGATCGGGTTTTTTTAAGTGTGATATTCGGGTCGGGTCGGGTTCGGGTTTAGGGTGAAAAAAACGGACCGACCCGAATATATATATATAATTCGGGTCGGGTTGGATGAAACTTTATTTTGTTCGGGTTGGGTCAGGTTTTTTAAGTGTGATATTCGGGTCGAGTCGGGTCGGGTTTTTTTAAGTGTGATATTCGGGTCGGGTCGGGTTCGGGTTTAGGGTGAAAAAATTGGACCGACCCGAAAAAATATATATAATTTTACCTTATATTTTTAGGAATAATTACAATAATACCCCTCTATATATATATTTTTTTCAATTAAGTCAATGTTTTTATTGAATAAAAATAATTTTTTTTATTATTTTGAGTTGGGTCGAGTTTCTAATTCATATATTGAATAAAAATAGTTTTTGGTATATTTTTTGGTAACTAATTAACATACTCCGATTGGAATGTATCAAAATATTGCTCTATCTTTTGGTAACTTATTAACATAATTTGATTGCGATGATTTTAACTTATAATGTTTATTAGCATGATTTTTATAATTTATTGAAATGAATAATCAATCAATAAAATAAAATTTTAATATTTTTTAATTTTTTATAATATATTAATACATGTAAGTTGTAAAATAAACTAAAATAAAGTAAAAAAATAAGAAGGGCAATTCTGTCATTTTACATTATTAAAATCAAATTCATCTAACATGTCTGCGAACCAAACAGAATATGAAATTGGATTTTAATTTCATTTCCTGCCAACCAAACAGAATATGAAATTAGATTTCAATTCCTACAGATTCCAATTCCTTCACAGATTTCAATTCCTTCATAGATTCCAATTATCTTATAAATATTTTAACGAATAAAACGCCACCTTAGGGTCATCAGATCCCAATACTACATAGTGCCTGCAACAACTCTTTGATAACTAATCAGAATGCATTTCCATTTTTTGAAGCCTGATCTAATCTTTGATGACTGATGTGATTTTGCTTAGAGCGGAGGCAGGAGAAAACAAACTTTCCCAAATTATAGACCTTAGACCACCGATAAAGCTTCCGCTTCAAAAGTTTTAGTGGATGTTTGAAGTTTGGAGGTGAAGCTTTTCCATGCCTTATTGGTCGGAAGAAACCTTATGCTCAAGCAAGACATGAACAAAGAGATAGAAAGATAGCAGGAGAGATCTGCAAAAGGATATTAAAATGTCTTATTTATAAAATAAAAAAGATAGATAGCTTAGAAGAAGAAAGAAGAAAGAAGAAAGAAGAAAGAAGAAGAATGGGTTAAGTATCACGTAAGTAAAAACTAACGAGAGATAATGATAAGAATCAAAATGAAAATAAACTAAAAGTTCAATAATTATATTACTAGTTTCAAAAATTTGATGACCAAAATGTACGCGCTCTAAAAGTTCGAAGACTATTTATATATTTTACCCTTAAATATTACATAACCAAAAATTTAAATCTTAAAATTTAAGATACACTATGTACTTCAACAATTAGTTTTGATCTATTTTAATAAAATCATTTAAAATTTAATTTTAAGTATCCCACTTTTAGTATCTTATTATTTAACTCATTATTTAACTTTCCCTAAACTATCAATTTTCAGTTCACTTCATTTTAGTATCTCATTATTTAATTTAACACGTTTATTACTTAAATTATCAATTTTAATCTGTCTTAATACCTAAATTATTTTAAAAAAAGTAACTTAAATAAAACTACTAAAATAAAAAAAACTAAAATTTTTAATAGCATAATATTAAAATGAAATAAAAATTAAATCTAGCATTATATATTTATAATTTAAATACTAAATACGTAACACCCCAATTTAGGGGCTAAATTTAAGGAATTATAAATTGGTGGATTTAATTGGTATTTTGAAAGAAACGATGGATTAAATTGTAAGATTTCAAAGTTGGCAGATCGTTTTAAGAAGTTCAGGAAGTTCAGTGACTAAACTCATAGTTTACCCATTTTTATTATGAGTTGAATTATAAATCCATAATTCCCGTATGTTTTCTGGAAAAAAATTCAATTTTTCCTCTTCACCAACCCTTCTTTCAATTCCGATATACTCACCGTCCGACGTCCGATCGACGAATCGAAACCACTATCGTGTTCGTTGTCAACCGATGAACAAAAACCCTCAAACCTTTCATCGTGAATTATCGTCGTTCGTCGTTAATTTCAGTTGGAAGTATCATCGGTAATAACTCGATTTCAGTTGGTTTTTCATCAATTCACGACGATCCGATGATCCGTTTACGACACCTCCCGCACCATCGTGTTCCTTGTTCCGTTTCAAATCTGCCGGTGTCATCCTTGGTCTCCGTCGACGGCGGCGCGTGAGGAGGTGAAGCAGTCAAAGTTTTCGATTTATTTGAATCGAGCACTCCACCGTTCAAATTTATGAACCGAGCTTTGTAAGTGCCTCGAAATTGCTTAAAATATTTTTTAAAAAATTTTCCGTGATTTTTAGGCTGCCGGATGAAGTCCCACGAGCCGCCACTGTGTGTGGGGATAGTCCAAATGATCGGTTTGACCGGTTTTTTTACAGGTTTGACCGGTTACAACCCGACCCGACCTGTTGAGCCGACCCGTTGACCCAACCCTTTGACCCGTTGACCGGCGTTGACCACTGTTGACCAAAACTTTGACCGGCTCTGACCGGGCATTAAACGACCTTTGACTTTAACCGAGTATATCTATCCTGACATTTTTCGACGTTTCAAATCCGATTTCGCAGTCCGCTTTTCGAAATTCAAACCCGAATGCCTCGAAATTTCCAGTCAAACCCGTTGACTTTGATTTTGATCGAAAAGTTCAAATTTTTGAAAAGTCATATTTTATGCTTTTGACGTTCTGAATCCGAATCCGAAGTCTGTTTCGCCAAATTTGAACCCTGTAAGTTTTTTTTTTACTGATTTATCATTTGATTCGATCCGTTTTTCATAATTAAGCTCTGTTTTTTTATGTAATTTCTGTTGATGTGGATCCGAGGAAATATTGGAAGATGATTTCAAGATCGAGGGCGTTCGAATGGAATTTAATTGTCGATCAGTATTGCATGGAAATCGAGGTAATACTTTACTACCTCTTTATGCTTTACGGAACATGTGAATATTGGTAAATGTATGAATAAGATAATGTTGGTCTCATTTGTGTAGTTAATAAATTCTTACACTCGATCCGAACATAGTAGAAATTTGGCAATTGATTATGGTTCAGATGATTAATATAGGAGATTGAGAGATTATTAGAATTAAATTACAAGTTTATGATTAGTGATAAAGAAATCAGCCATGGATTTGTGTCTTATATTTTATATTATCAAAGGTTAAATGTTAAAGGTACTTGGATGGGAAATTATGATAATACTCTGGTAAGGTAAAATTACAAAAATACCCTTAAGTTGTAAGATGTCAAGAATTGTCCCTGGAAGTTGATTAATAACTCTGAAAGGATAAATTGATATGATAAAACTACATATGTGCTTAAGAAATGCTAGATTTTGCTTAGGAAATACGAATAACCGGTTTTTAACCCCTAGAGGGTTTGTGCAAGATATTATGAGTCAATTAAGGAATCATTTCAAGATAAGAGAATGTTCGGGAAAGCAATTGATCATAGGATCTTTAAATTATAATTATTTTCGTTAAGAACTAATATCGAAATTATCTGGTTAAGGAATTACAAAAATGCCCTTGAGAGATAAAATAGTCTGAGTTGACCCTAAATGAGAAATACTTTGAGAATTTGTACTTAACTCGATTAAGTACGAATTTAATTGTTAAGATCCTGTCTTTGTACAGAAAAATTCATGATATTCCGTTTATAAAATCTGAGAATGCACTTGACCTGAAAATATTCGAGTAATGAGTAAATACCTGAAGAATAATTTATCGGGGGTATTCTGCTGTCAGAATTGTTCGAAAGGACTGAAATAAATGATAAGATTAAATTTAATAGTAAGATCGAACGGAAGAAAAATATTAAAATGCACTGAATCTGTAAAATGACCAAAATACCCCTGTAATAGAATTGACC